GGAATCTGAGATGACTTTTACATCTCAATTTTAAGTGCAGATTCCACCCCCTAAGATCACAGAAAATACTACCAAGCTCTTTGCTTTAGCCATCAAAATTAGGTTACAGTTATCAAAGGAACATGAGTTCTGACTTAATCAAAATTATCTGCATTTTTAACAAGTTCTTGTTGTTTATGGATTTTTGTTATACTCTTACTTTAAAGCATTTTTGTGCATGTGCATTGTCCTCTCTTTTTTCCCCCGTGGTTGTTTTGCTATGTCTGCATTGTACTTTGTATTTATTTGGTGTTTATTGCCTGTACACCAAATATACTATAGTCCATTAAGATTGCTGGGAATTGCTCTGTGGAAGGTAAACTACACTTCCAAGGATTCCTAGCCATGTCCTTTAAGTGAGCATTGGTGTGTACACACCCTAACTTATTTTAACAAATAAATGCAGTTCTGTTTCCCAACATTTTGCCAAAGGGTGAGTGGAAGATGGTATGTGGTCTCCCTTATACTGTTTGCCAATGTTATTATCTGGCGCTGTTTTCCTCCCCTTTAGTTGTTTTGGAAAAAACCTGTACCAATGCAAAGTCTGACTGAGACGGGGGGGGGGGGGGACCTTGTAAATAAAGCAGTCTGTTGTTGTTTTCTATTCAGAATTACATTACAAATATAAAGGAAGGCTGGGGGAATTTGGCTTTTGCATTCAGACAGAGCAAAAGGCAGGCGATTCATCCAGATAATATCTCCCTCGTTCCTCAACTTCAGCCAGCAGCTTGACCAGAGTGAGTCATATAGAGAATATGGGCTTTGTTAAATAATTAAACTGAAAACAGAAAAGCACAGAAAAGTTGCAAAATTGCCTCTGAGTTCTCAGATTGGCAGTGGAGGTTATCCACTCCACAACTCTTCAGGATATTTTTATTTTTATTTTCTATGAATTTATACACTGCCCTTCCTCACGAAAGGAGCCCAGTGAAGCTAACAAATACAATGTAATAGGAATAGAATTCAGTAATAACAGAAAAGCTGGCTTTAAAAACATACAGAACAAGCAGAATAAAACAGCAGTAAGGACAAAGGACAAATTCTACGCTCCACAGGAGTGGCGAAAAGAGGAAGTTTTCACAATGAGCTACAAAGTATCCAGTGTGGAGGGCAACTGAATGGATATCGGGAGGACGTTCCATAGTCTAGACCAGGCACCCCCCAAACTCGGCCCTCCAGATGTTTTGGTCCTGTTAGCTAGGGATGATGGGAGTTGTAGCCCCAAAACATCTGGAGGGCCGAGTTTGGGGGTGCCTGGTGTAGGAGCAGCCACTGAGAATGCCCTGTCACCTGTCAGCACCTGACTAGTCAAAGCCACTGATGGCATCAGCCAGGAAAGGCATCCCTGGCTGATCTTAATACTGTAGTCAGGTAGGGTAATACGTATTGGATAACGTTATGTTTTCATAGCATTGAGATGGGGACACCCAGTGGCTAGTCATTATCACAACAGAGGGCTGCATAAATACCATATATTTAAAGAACATGACTTCCAAAGAATCCTGGGAACTGTGGTTTAAGGGTACTGGGAACTGTAGCTCTGAGAGGTGTAAACTACAGTTCCCAGAACTCTTTGGGTAAGATGTATGCTTCAAACGTCTGGTATAGACTTTGGCCTCTCGCACCACCAACACAAATAAGTTATATATTTATGGGATGCTGAAACTCCACTCACCTACTATGTAAAATAATTAAAGCTTACTATCTCTCCCCCAAGGAACGCGGGTGGCGCTGTGGGTTAAACCACAGAGCCTAGGACTTGCCGATCAGAAGGTCGGCAGTTCGAATCCCCGCGACGAGGTGAGCTCCCATTGCTCGGTTCCTGCTCCTGCCAACCTAGGAGTTCGAAAGCACGTCAAAGTGCAAGTAGATAAATAGGTACCGCCCGGGCGGGAAGGTAAATGGCGTTTCCATGTGTCGCTCTGGTTCGCCAGAAGCGGCTTAGTCATCCTGGCCACATGAACCGGAAGCTGTACGCGGGCTCCCTCGGCCAATAAAGCGAGATGAGCGCCGCAACCCCAGAGTCGGTCACAACTGGACCTAATGATCAGGGGTGCCTTTACCCTTTACCTTTTATCTCTCCCCCATCTTCCCTGCAATGACTTTGCAAAGTTTTTTGCAGATAAAGTCGCTCAGATTCGAGAAGAGGTAGACTCCACCGTGGGAGCAGGGCCGGGGCGGGAGAGTGCTAGAGTCCTGTCTAGTCAAGTTGTGTGGGATCATTTCCAATCTGTTACCCCGAGGATGTGGACAGGCTGCTTGGACGAGTGAAACCAACCACTTGCCTCCTTGATCCTTGCCCATCCTGGCTTATAAAGCTAGCCGGGAAGGACTGGGCGATGGGCTTCGTGGGGTGGTGAATGCTTCCCTCCGTGAGGGAGCCTTCCCAGACCCGCTGAAAGAGGCGGTTATTAAACCGCTTCTTAAAAAACCATCTTTAGATGCGGCCACGATAGCCAACTATCGCCCAGTCTCAAATCTTCCATTCTTGGGCAAGGTGATTGAGCGAGTGGTTGCTGAACAACTCCAGGCACGCCTGGAAGAAGCGGACCATTTGGATCCCTTCCAGTCGGGATTCAGGCCTCATCATGGGACTGAAACTGCCTTGGTCGCACTGGTTGATGATCTCCGGCGGGCTAGGGACAAAGGTGAGAGCTGTTTCCTAGTTCTGCTGGATCTCTCAGCGGCGTTTGATACCATCGACCATAACATCCTTCTGGACCGTCTTGAGGGGCTGGGAGCTGGGGGCACTGTTACACAGTGGTTCCGCTCCTTCCTACTGTGCCGTGTTCAGAAAGTGGTGGTGGGGGACGAGTGTTCAGACCCCTGGGCCCTCACTTGTGGGGTGCCTCAGGGTTCTGTCCTCTCCCCCATGCTTTTCAACATCTACATGAAGCCGCTGGGAGAGATCATCAGGGGATTTGGGCTGGGTGTTCATCAGTATGCAGATGATACCCAGCTCTACCTCTCTTTCAAATCAGAACCAGTGAAGGCAGTGAAGGTCCTGTGTGAGTGCCTGGAGGCGGTTGGAGGTTGGATGGCGGCTAACAGATTGAGGTTGAATCCTGACAAGACAGAAGTACTGTTTTTGGGGGACAGGAGGCGGGCAGGTGTGGAGGATTCCCTGGTCCTGAATGGGGTAACTGTGCCCCTGAAGGACCAGGTGCGCAGCCTGGGAGTCATTTTGGACTCACAGCTGTCCATGGAGGCACAGGTCAAATCTGTGTCCAGGGCAGCTGTTTACCAGCTCCATCTGGTACGCAGGCTGAGACCCTATCTGCCTGCGGACTGCCTCGCCAGAGTGGTGCATGCTCTGGTTATCTCCCGCTTGGATTACTGCAATGCGCTCTACGTGGGGCTACCTTTGAAGGTGACCCGGAAACTACAACTAATCCAGAACGCGGCAGCTAGACTGGTGACTGGGAGCAGCCGCAGAGACCACATAACACCGGTCTTGAAAGACCTACATTGGCTCCCAGTACGTTTCCGAGCACAATTCAAAGTGTTGGTGCTGACCTTTAAAGCCCTAAACGGCCTTGGTCCAGTATATCTGAAGGAGCGTCTCCACCCCCATCGTTCTACCCGGACACTGAGGTCCAGCACCGAGGGCCTTCTGGCGGTTCCCTCACTGCGAGAAGCCAAGTTACAGGGAACCAGGCAGAGGGCCTTCTCGGTAGTGGCGCCTTCCCTGTGGAACACCCTCCCACCAGATGTCAAAGAGAACAACAACTACCAGGCTTTTAGAAGACATCTGAAGGCAGCCCTGTTTCGGGAAGCTTTTAATGTTTGATGTATTATAGTATTTTAATATTCTTTTGGAAGCCGCCCAGAGTGGCCGGGGAAGCCCAGCCAGATGGGCGGGGTATAAATAATAAATTATTATTATTATATTATTATTCCCCCCACCTCTCTCCCCATATCTCTACCCCCCAACCCCATGCTGCCTACAACAGTAATATCTCACGCTGAATACCGCTGACCTGTATGAAGGAATCTGTGATTTAAAAACAGAGACGCTGGTGCTGTATGTACTTTTGTTATCCAAGAAAATATTTTAATAATGAAGCGTGTATGCAGCCATATTTGATTCCATGTAAATTACCAGGTACAAACCGTTCAACTATCTGGCCATATCGATGGAATAAAACATCTTCCCGTGCTTTGTTGTGTTCTTCATGATAGAACTATGAAGCAGTGAGAAGGTATAACGAAATGCAGGTTTAATACTGGGGGCAATTTCCTAAAGAGGAATATATTTTCATGGTGGAGGGACTTCCCTAAGGGAAGCCTTGGTTCAAAACATATTCCAGCTCCTGTTGGTTTGACTTTCACCCCAATTCAGGAGTTTAGGCCTCGCAACATCAGCAGACCTTCTGCATTCTGCTCTGTCTGCATCTCATCTGTTCAGATTCAAATAAGCTTGTAGCAATGACAAGAAACAGCAGCTCCTTCCAGCACTGGCTGCAACCTTTTCTGCTGCCACAGAACTGGGCATCCCACATTAGAAACTCTGATTTAGCCCAGGGATAACCATTCCTAAATAAGGCTGCTAGCAATTTACTGTGCATCAAGCACGTTAAAGGCACGCTTCTGTGCCTTTAACGTGCTTGATGCACAAATTTGGCGAGTGAAGTTTTTTCCAATTATATCCCCTGATTATTGGTTATGTGTCAGGCGCTGCAGATATTTATTTATTGCATTTGTTGTCTACCTTTCCTCCATGGAGTTCAAGGGGGCATATGTGGGTTCTCTTCCTCCCTGTTTCATCCTCACAACAACCCGGTCAGGTAGGTTCGGCTGAGAGACAGTGACTGGCCCAAGGTCACCCAGCAACTGAGTTTCATGACTGAGCAGGGATTTGAATCTGGTCTCCCAGGCACTAGAGTCCAGTATTCTAACCCCTACACCGCACCGGCTCTCCTAGCAATATATCCCACTTTAATATAAAATAAAGGAGGGAAGCTACCCGGAGGTGGCTCAGTTGGTCAGAGTGTGGTGCTGGTGATGCCAAGGTCATGGGTTCGATCTCTGTATGGGCCAGCTGCATAGTCCTGCATCACAGGGGGTTGGACTAGATGATCCTCTGCTTCCCTCCCAACTCTACAATTCTACGATTCTAAGCAATCCTACTGAAAAGAGCTGGTTAATGGGAGGGACACATTGCCCTGAAACGGAGCGAGAAACCCATTTACAGTATAATTCCACTGTAATATTGGTGAAGCGGTTCACCTGAGGCAAAGGAATTCATGCTACAATGGCTTTCATTTGCGGGAAGCTTTGCATTCCGTACTTTCACTTTTTCTTTTGGTTCCTTTTAATGACACCCAAGGCTCTCTTGCTGGTTAATTGGCTATGATTGCATAAACATTCTCTTACCTACAAACCCTCATTCCAGAATAATGAGTTAGTTAGAAAACACAGATCCTTTCATCTTCTTTCTGTAGTATCCTACTTGGCAACATGTTTTTGAATATACTACATCTTTGATTGGAATAAGCATGGCATTTTTGATGGGGGGGGTCAATGGATATGTGCCTGCATACACAGTACAGAGAGAGTGACCATATAGAAAAGGTTACATTCCGTTATGCATGTGCAAATCCCACAGCCTAGGCAGATAGATATGGGTTTTCTGTGTCTCTTGACTGCCACCTACTGGTTAATTTCTGGGGAAAAGAATTCACACTACGGACCAATGCAAAAGTGCAATAAGATACAGCAGCAGCTTTGCAGAACTGGACTTCCACAAAGTGGATGTTTTTTAAAAGTGCAAAAGAAAGAGAACATTCAAGAAAATTATTCTGCTTTCCTTTGTTTTAAATGTTCCATTGGTTAAAAAGGGTTGCATCTGAGGTTCCTAATAAATAATAACGAAATACCTAATGCTTTGAAATCTTTTTGAAATCCATTACCTTTAATATAGGCAGTATGGATATTTTCCAGCTATTTTTTAAAAAATGTGTATCATAAATAAACATGTGGAAGGAGATCCCAACTAAAAAAGCAAGGAAGTACATAGGAGGGACTCTAATTTTACAATTGTGAGTCTTTCAGCATGGAAATGTTTTATAATATCATAGAATCATACAGTTGTAAGGGATCACAAGAGTCATCTAGTCCAGCCCCCTGCAATACAGGAATATTTTGCCCAACATGGGGCTAAACCCGCAACTGAGATTAAGAGTTTCATACTCTACCGACTGAGCTATCCCAGCAGATGCCTTTACAGGGTCCCCCACTCTCTCAACAGGAGGAAGTTCCAAAATCAACCTTTACATTAAGTTGAGTGCAAAGCTCCTGGTCAAACTTACTCTGCGATGAAGTGGGAGGGGAGATCCAGACTAGGACCATAGCATGGGGCAGCATGTGCTTTAAAGCAGCTTTCCAGCTCTTCCTTCCCCAATGCATCTCAATCACTCCCTTCTGTTGAGATCATAGCTAAGTGGGCCACAGGTCTGTCATGCTCAGCTAGCCTGCTGCCCTTGGGTCCACTGAAGGGCACTATCCCATTGCCAGCATTGAAATAAGATGCCACTGCCAGTCCAGTTAAGGTGCTGTAAATGCAATGAGAGGAGGTGCCATCTTGTCATTTGCTTTAGGCAGCAAAATGTCTTGGGCCCCTGGGCCAGCCCTGCTTCTCACCAAGCAGAAAAGGACAGTGCACTGAGGGCAGAAGGGTAGTAGAGCTGACAGAAAGAAAAGCATCCTGCTTCACAACAAAGAATAAGGCTGTATCAACACTATCAGGAATCTGACAGAAAAATTCTTCATTGCTAAGCCAACATAGACATCTGCTGGCCTGACATGTAAATTTTTAATAAATGCACTATTGCGAAATAATTTTAAGATATCATAAATAGATGTTAGATAGATAGATATTCTTCGTTTGCTTCACACAATAGTTCAGAAGGGGAGAAAAGAGAGACTGTTGGATGACTTAACTATGAGATATTTCATTACAGTAACTGTTGCTACTGAATTGCAGTGATTTTTGAACATTGTGGTGACAGCTTTGAAGCTGGTAGAGTCTCTATGAAAAAAAGCTTGACCATAAGAAACTGATAGCTGTTTGTCCACTGTAGGGCTTCTTCAGGTCATTCAGTCACATGACAAAAACATAATATAGGAAGAATTTATACCTGTGTTTGGAGAAGTTGGAAGGGGGAGGTAATTCCACACAGCAGAAAATGGACAATTGACCAAGCTCAGAAATAAAACTGATCCCAAAGCACGGAAATGTTCCTGCAAAATGCTAATCTACAGATTTCCTTGACACAACAACTTACTGAAATGCAGCCTAGGAGCCTGCAATCAAGAGCAAAAGAGCCATTATGGAAGGCTATCATTTAGGTCAGGCATGTCCAAAGTCCAGCCTGGAGGCCACTTGCTGCCCCTGGGCTAGTTTCAAATGACAATTTTGAAAAAGCCATCTCTTGCGGCCCCCAAGCACCTGCCCACCAAAGCCATTTCCTTTTCAATGCTTCTAGGCTTATAGAGTGGCACACAGATTACGGACACAGGGACCGGGGTGGTACAAGTGGGAGCAGTTCTTGAGGTATTGGGTCCTGAGCCACATAAGACTTTAAAAGTAAAAAACCAGCACTTTGAATTGAACCCAGAAGCCAGCTGGTAGTCTGTGCAGTCATGCCAGAATTTGTGCTAGAATTGTAGAGTTGGAAGGGACTGCAAGAGTTATTTTGTCCAATCCCCTGAAATGCAGGGACCTTTCAGCCAACATGGGGCTCAAACCCACGATCCTGAGATTAGGAGTCTCATACTCTACTGTCTGAGCTATCTCTCTGACCTGCTCTGTGTTATATGTTTGGACCGTGTTGCCCCAGTAAGCAATCTGGCCACTGAATTCTGCACCTTCTGCAGTTTCCAAATCATCTTCAGAGGCAGCCCCGTGTATAAGACATTGCAGTAATCCAACCTAGAGGTTAGCAGAATGCAAACAGCCTGGCCCTGAGTGGTAGATGTGGCATTCTAATGAAAAACAAAAGGAAATCTGGCATGCATGAAGTCTGTTCATCCATGGCTAAAAGCTAACCTAGAGAGAGAAATATTAGAAATGAAAATTAAGATTATTATTATTATTAAATGCCAAGTGAGATGATTTTAGAGGCTGCAGGGTCTTAGCTTTCTGTTTATTTTATCTGTTTCCATTTTGCTGTTCTTCTCTGGCAAATCACCTAATCATATGGTGTCAGTTCTATCCCTGCTTTGCATTTCTGGAACTTTACAAGTAGGAGGAATAATAAATAGCAAATACGGAATAATCAGCTTCAGACATGCTATTCTAGACAATCATTTGTTCAACAGATCATGAAAATTCCTAGGAGCTTCAAACGTTTTTGCAAAACAATGTTTTCCTAAACAATGAATAATATACCAATTTCCTTGCTCCTAGAAACAAACAGCAAATTAAGTGGTTGGGTTGTTTTAGCATTTAGCCTGTTTTGGTTACTATAATTGTTTCCTTGCAGAAGAATTACAAGTGATTAAAATGTCAGCCACTACGTGCAAGTAATAATGTCATTACTAGTCATCCATAATAAATGTTATCACTGTAAGCATTATGTAGTCCAATGAAATATATAATAGAACTAATCTGAAGGCAGATGACTCGGAAGCATATACTTCATCAAGCCAACCAAAATTACCACACTGTTCTATAATGCTTTTATTTAATCTTACAATTTGATTTAAAAAAAAAAAAAATTAAAGATGCCTGAGTGTGGTAAAAAGAGAGTTGTGGAGAATCTGCACATTTTCCACACAGAAGCCACAACCTCTCACATGCCCTTGATTTGATCCTGGAATGTCCCGCTTTTCTTTAGGGTGTCCCTCTTTTCATCAAAGAAATGTTGGAGGGTATGAAGTTATGCAATCCCTACGCCAAGGAGATAAGTAACTATACATCCTTAGAAGACATCTGAAGGTAGCCCTGTTAATGTTTATTTTTTTAAATACGTTGCAAGCCACCCAGAGTGGCTAGGGCAACCCAGTCAGATGGGAGGGGTATAAATGTTGCTGCTGCTGCTGTTGCAGCTGTTGTTGCTGGATAAGGTGTCCCTATTTTCATCGGAGTAATGTTGTAGGGTATGGTGGCCACTGGGACAGAGCTGCAACGCAAGCCTCATGGTAGCTGCAAAGCTTAGAAGGGTGAGGTGGTAGGGGAGGCCAGGGATGTACGGGTCCACCAGCAAAGTCAAGCCAGCATTCCCTGTGGCACATCTGTGCAGTCCTGACCACCCCACTGCCTGACTCCTACCCCCCTCCCTTCTGATAAGCAGGAGTGGCTCCACCACTGGAAGTCTAGCATTGCTGCTCTGCCCTGTAAGTGAGCGGAGAGGACTGAAAGGGAATACAGTGGTACCTCGGGTTACAAACACCTCGGGTTACAAACACTTCAGGTTACAGACTCCACTAACCCGGAAGTAGTACCTCGGGTTAAGAACTTTACCTTCGGATGAGAACAGAAATCGCATGGCGGCAGCGGGAGGCCCCATTAGCTAAAGTGGTACCTCAGGTTAAGAACAGTTTCAGGTTAAGAACGGACCTCCAGAAGTTCATAACCAGAGGTACCACTGTATATATTTGGCAATCTTCTTAGTCTGTTCTCGTAAGCCTCTGGCACATGAAGAAGGCCACTGGGAAAATCAGGCCATGGAAATGCCATCTGTAGAAAGCCAACCATGTGAATGCTGGATGCTAAGCAACTCAGATTGGCTCTTGGCGGTGGCACCAGATGGGGAAATTGCATTTGCAACCAAAGGTCCAGTTAGGCCATCTACATGCTGTCCAGCTTAAAACACAGTTAAGTCCTTCTTTTTCTCAAATCCAACAGAAGCTGGTTTGGTAGGAAACCCATCGAAACATAGTATGTCATAAGAAACAACAGGATAAAAAATATTTTAAGTATTGAAATGGAATTAGGAAATTGATGTGACATTGAGCAGCGAACAAGGGAGGAAAGAGAAACATCAACGTTGTGGGGTGGGAAGTCAACCTTTAAATTTGTATTAAATTTGAATTAATTTGATGTTAATTTATTAGAATTTTTGAAAAGCAATAAAAATTAATTAGAAAAGAAATAAACAGCAGGATAAACATGGGTTGTGGGTGGCTAATGGTGTGTGTACACCGCTTCCCTAACCAGCAGGGGGCGTGTACTAGATGCAGAGTAAACAGGAGTGTGTACACCATGGGTAGGCAAACTAAGGCCCAAGGGCTGGATCCAGCCCAATCACCTTCTAAATCCAGCCTGCGGGCAGTCCGGGAATCAGTGTGTTTTTACATGATTAGAAAGTGTCCTTTTATTTAAAATGCATCTCTGGGTTATTTGTGGGGCCTGCCTAGTGTTTTTACATGAGTAGAATTTGTGCTTTTATTTAAAATGCATATCTGGGTTATTTATGAGGCATAGGAATTTGTTCATATTTTTTTTCAAAATATAGTCCGGCCCCACACAAGGTCTGAGGGACAGCGGACCGGCCCCCTGCTGAAAAAGTTCGCTGACCCCTGGGGTACACAGCCTTAGTCCATTACGATACTGAGGTAGCTTGTTTTACATTTTTGACTTGTTTATTTATATTATCTTCCGGTAATTTTAAAAAGATTTGTTGAAGTTTTCCCCCCTTTTCATACTATATACAAGCCGTATGCAATCCCTTTGATTTCTCTGTGCTTTAATATATAAGACACTTCTCCATCAGCATTCAAAAGTCATGAAAATATTGCAACTTGCAGCATCGGCAGATAAGATGTGACAGCTAGGATATACAGGGAGAAACATGTTATTAACCCCTCTTCCTGCCCCATCCCCATTTACAGCAAAAGTGGAATAACAAGGCTGTAAATCAGTGCTGAGCAAAACAAAGGAAAGGGAAAGGAAATAAACATAAATCAAAAAAAATACAGACCCACATACATCTATAATATATATTCTAGACCCCACAGTATCAGTTTTAAACATCTGAGATAAAGATGGAAGATGTATGGGAGAGAAGGAAGCACTTCAGATTTGACAGGGCCATTAATTTGTTTGTAGCTATAGGAAGCCCTTGTAACAAAAATCCACACCCACCCACTCTGAAAAACTCCATATTTCTGCCCAAATAATTCTCCATCCCTAAGTTTCTGTATTAGCCCTCACACAGACAGAATGATGTGTTTCTTATCACACAGAGTGTCTCAGAGGGAAGAAAGAAGCCTCTTACACCTTTTAAAGTCCTAAAACCTCCTGCCAAAAATAAAAGTGATGTTTACAACTTCTCTGACAAGGAACCAAAGGTTTTTAAGTGTTATACATCTCATCTTCCTCCATACACCCTTTTAGTGCTTTTGCTTAGAGAACTCTTCACCGTCTATCTTCATTTAAAGAATGAGGTACGATGCTATTTTTTTTCTAGAAAAAGAGGTGCCAGAACTCACCATGAACGCCTTCCTTGTTCTCTTATAACCTGAGAGGTGCCGGTACTCAGTTCCAGGGATTTCCGGCTGAAAAAAAGCCCTGGGTACACATTGCTTCGAATCCACATTATAAAGTCCCATGTTGATGCACCTATAGATTGGTAAAATGAGCTGCATGGACATGACAGGGTAAAGTCTAGGTGGCAGTGTCTGGTTAGTAGACTTTGGGAATATACTTTCCTGCTCACAAGAGCCCATAATTTCAAGCGTCCTCAGCTTCAAAGCTAGGCAGAACCTAAGAGGGTGGTAGTGGCCGGTATTACAGAGGCCTGGCTCCCCTAAGCGCCTGGCCTGGCCATTACATCCTTCCAGATGCTTTCAAATTTGCCAGCAGTTTTTCCCTTCTGTGCAAAGATGGTTTGCCTGCGCATCATTCCACTCTGAGCATTTCTTCATCCGGGTGACTGAATTCAGTAAGGCGTACTCCCCAGGTAAGCTTGCACAGGGATTTCAGTTTTGTTGCCTTTTAATTGTTTTATCAGAATAATCTGTCTACTACACAGTGGATGGAGTGGCGAGTTGACCCAATATACACCTGAGGCAGAGGTCACCAACACGGTGCCTTTGGGGCGCCACAAAAGATCTCAGGCAATGTCCCCTCAAAAATCCACAAGAGCCCGTTCTTCCTGATCAGTTCCTGTTTGCACTGGCTCAGCCTCTTCCACATTGAACACACCTCCTTAAACATGCCCACATTTCATTGGTTTGGACACCAACCCTTCCTTCTGAATAGAGGCATAAACGAATGCTCTCTGTGAATGCAGCGGTGGCTGATTTGGGTGCCTTCTTTCCATCTATGATGTGGGGGTGGGTGGAGCACACCAGCACCCTTTTGTGTTCCAGTCGCCTTTTTCAATCCTTGTAGTTGTGGCGGCCATTTTGTGCTGTGCCACACCCCACAGCCGCCTTTTTGTGACTGGAGACCATTGCAGTTTGCCACTGGTTTAAAATAGATTGGCGACCCTGAGGACAAACTGACATGTGATCCAAAACACAAGAGGGGGCAACTCCTTTTAAGGTGCCTTTTGGCACCTTAAAGATTAATGGCTTTACTTCACTCACAGGTTTGTGGGTTAGAGCCTCTTCTCTCTCTCTGAATTCAGTTGCTTCAGCAAATATGATTCCCTGGCCAGTCTTCATTTTTCTTGTATTGAGGTGGAGATGTATTTTATTCATATTTTGAACTGCCCTTTGACTATGCTCCACCAACAGACAAACAAATATCAACTCACTATATTTATCTACACGCAACTAGAAAGTCTCAAATTCTTTTAAGTCTTCAAACACAAAAGAACAACAACAAACAACAATACTTGATCAAGCAAGATAGGCATTAATTTTGTTGTGGAAAATTTTGTCACCCTGGCTCCCTGCAAGGATGACTAGTAGATAAATAACCCAATCTGCTTATTTTTATTTTTCAAAGTAATGCTAAGTCAGCAGGTCGTGGCACAGATGGTAGGAAGAGCAGACCTGTGGAAGGGCGGAGTCATCTTTCTCCACAGAATTACCCATTCTTTCCAACTTCCACAACAGGCCTAGTGAACAGGAAGCCTGGGATAGTTCAACTGATAGAGCATGAGACTCTTAATCACCTGGTTGTGGGCTTGAGCCCCACATTGGGCAAAAGATTCCTGCATTGCATAGGGTTAGACTAGATGACCCTCGTGGTCCCTTCCAACTCTACAATTCTATGATTCGTTGCTCCACAATGTCCCATTGCTGCTGTGGGCATCACCCTCCCTTTGGCCATGCCATGCCTTTATTGTATTGGTTTTTCTTTTCCCCAACCCCCCCCCCCCAGAAAGTCCACATGGGGCTGAAAAGAGTTCTGATTCTATAGTATTCTAGCTCACTATTTGGGTCCACAAGACTCAAATCTTCATTGTTGTTTCCTGGAGGTTTTGCCTCTTTTCAGAGTTGGTGTTTGTTTTTATTTTCATTCTGCAAACCTCACAAGTAAGTAGGTATTTCCCTTGTGTTTATTTGTTGGCGTCATTCTCCAAGAAGCTAGTGGTGGAATACATGGCTCTCCCTCTCTCATTTAATCCCAACAACAACCCTGTAAGGTAGGGTATGTTGAGGCAGTGGCTGGCCCAAAGTCAGCCAGTGAGCTTCACAGCCCAGTGAGGATTTGAAGCCTAGTCTCCCAGGTCTAACTACTACACCACACTGGATCTTGTTCCCCAGAGGCCCTGCTTTGCTGGCCCCATTTATCACCATCTGGGGTCACACATACTCCATATGTATATATGTGTGTGTGGGTGTGGGTGTGTGTGGGTGTGGTGTGAATGCTCCCCGTGCTCCTCCTGTGGCTGGAAAAGGGTTAGTTCAACCTCCGGTTTGCTAGTAAATCTAAATTACTGTGTCATGAAATGACACGTCTAAAAAGCATGTCACCATGAAAAGTTTGGTATACGTGGTTTCCCACAGAATCCTAGGAATTGTAATTTACCCCTCACTAAACTACAATTCCCAGCAGCCTTAAACTACAGTTCCCAAGATACTGTGGGAGTAAACCATACTGTGTTGTGTGCTGATAATCCGCTCACTGGTTTTTGTTTTTGTTTTGGTGTTTTTTTTAAATGATATTTATTGGGGGGGGAATTAGAATTACAAAAGAAAACAAAGTAGAAAAAGAGAAAGAAAAAACAAAGAAAAAACAAACCACATCAAACAATACAAATTAATAAAAATAAAAATCAAAAAATATACCACAAACATTTAAAAACAAATCCAATATTCTCAAATCCTTAACTGTCATTACCTTCTTTCTTTGACCTCCTCCTCCTCCCTTTTTTTGTATCCTAGTTGTTAATTGTCGCAGCAAATCCTTTCCATATTTCATAATATTCTGTCATTACATTACCTTAATCTATTTTAATCTTATCTTACTATAAAAAACCTTAAAACTTAAAACTTAAATCTTATTTTTACCAATTTCTCATAACCATAATATTCTTACGTAATTCTTTAAATATTTTTGCTAAAGCCAAATAATTTCATTCCAACATTTTTCTAACATTCATCAATTTTATAAAAGAATCCTAATAAAAAAAACAAAAAAAACCAATCCAATCTTCATCCAGCGTCTCTTCGTCCTGGTCCCGGGTTTTGTCAGTCCTCTCTATCCCATCAGTCTAGCGCATTAACCTGGTAATCTTATATCCGAGGCCCTTAAGTCCCTTCCATGTCCCTTCTGCGGCTCTTCTTCATATTTATAGCTGTATTTTCCTTTGTCTCCTGCTCCTTTCACTCGTGGGAACTCCAGCTTAACAATGTCTTTGACGCTTCTCGACAAATCAGCCCCTTTTCCATAGTCCACACTAAACTCCATGTGGTATTTAAGAACATGTTTCAAAGTCCCTCCAAATTTAAGAGCCCCCACAACCCCAAACATCTCACGGCCCATTACCAGACTTGAAAAGTCCAAACATCCCTGCATAGGGGGGTCTATCCAACCCCCCATTTCCAAACCAAGCCAAACTTTATCTTTCCAAATCTGGCTTTTTCCAAGTTCATTTGTCAAATCCAAGAACTCATGTTCCTGCTGGGCCGCAGCTCCCTCCATCTCTGGCGCCCGAGGTTCAGCAACATCCTCTTCCCTCATCTGTTCTGTCAGGGCACACTCCTGATTTGATTCCTGGGTGGGCTCCATATAATTTCCCACTGCCTGTTCAAAATTTCTGATCACATCAGTCATCAAGTCCGTCTTCTCATGTAGCTGTTCTAGTAGGGCACTTGTTTTACAGAGAGCACACAGCAGAGCTTCTGAATACATTGTCCTGCAAGGTCAGAAGTCTATTCCCACGATCGTAATCTGTAGCAGCTGCAAGCTCCCCGATTCAGAATTGGTTACAGTTTCACAGGCTCCCTCTAGGGGGAAAACTTCTATTTGTTCTTTTCTTTTAAAGACAGATCTAACAACAAAGTTTCCTTTTTCGGATATTTTGTCAATATTTGTTCCTTTAAAATGTGAAAGGGAGCAATGGAATCACTATGTTTCTCTTCTTTTAGCTATCTGTCAAAAACGTTTGTCTCTGGTCAATGAGCTTCAAAAAACATCAGTCCTGACACCCCGCTCCAGGATCAAGACGGTGGAAAGTTACTTTGCTTTACACTCACTTCTGCAGGTTTAAACAGTCCAAAAAAATCCCCCCTCTTCTCCTGCTTCCGAAGGGGGTTCAACAATTTTAAATGGTGAAAGTTAATCCTTTACAAGCGATTTTCTGAACTCTAGTTTGCCATGTCTTTGCTTTAATCTATCTACAAAGAAACAGAAGGCTGACTTCTTGTTTAGACCTTCCCGTTTCAGTACCAAATTGAAATAAACTTTTAAGTCCAATTTTCCTTTCTACTCGCAATTCCTTATTTAGAGTCCAATTGTCCGAAATTTAAGTACTCACGGTGATTGTTTTAAAAGCCAAATTGTCCCAGGAAAAGGCAGCGCTCTCCAGCAACGGCTGTGCGGCTTCGCTCCACGGAAGAAGCAGTTGACTCTCAGCACCGCGCCACTTCCCCCCTTCGCTCCGGAGCCCGTTAGTGGGTTCCTTTGCGGGTTGGGGGGGGCGCTAAAGGTGCCCGCCGAGTCCCATGGTCACAGGCTTCATCCGCCTGTGATTTTTGAAAGGGTCCCCGCTTCGCCATAGCAGAAAAGACCCGTTTCCCGTGGAGCTGGTCCCTCCAGATCAGAGGGAATCCGCCATTGCCGATGGCGCCACCCCGGAAGTCCCGCTCACTGGTGATCCTATATGCTGACTAGTCTAGGAAAGTGTAGGCTACAAACATGTGTCCACATTGTGAAGCTGGAAGGGACCGCATATATCACCTAGTGTTCTAGTCCAACCCCCTGGAATGCAGGCTTTTTTTTGCCCGAGGTGGGGCTTGAAAACTACGACCCTGCGATTAGTACAGACTTCTTGCGCCTACGTGCAGCACGCCGCGCGACAGCAGCAGCGCGATCCTATGAGTAACTACCTAGAAATAAACCCATTCTGCTGCATGGGACTCACTCCCAGCAAAATGAGCAAATGCGACTGCAGCCTAAAGTCTGTTCATACTATTTCACAGTAGGACGGGGGGCGGGTTGCAAGTGCTTGGAGTCGTGTGCCGGGGCGCGGCTTACGGACACTTGGCCGCCAAATGCAGACGGTGAGGGCGCCGACATCTTTACGCCAAGCGCAACAGTTTACAAGAGTGATTCGACCCCCCTCCCCCTTTAAGCAAACAACACAACTTTGGCCGGCGACTCCCTGCAAGATCCGCCGGCTCCTGAGGCGAAGGAAAGGCGGAGCCGACCAGGCAGGGAGAGATGCCGAAGGCGGGGCTGCCAAGGGCGGGGTAGGCGGCTGCATGTCGAGCGGGCTCCGCAGAGGAGCCGCTAGTCTGGGTCTCTCCGCGTGCTAGTTCGGGATCGCGTCGCCCCGGGCCCCGAGACGGAGAAAAGTTGTTGTAAGTAGCGCCGAGAAGTCCCCGAGCTTTCGGAACAACCCCTCCTTCTCCGGGGGAGGGCGGGATGTCAGTGGGAGGCGGGCCGGCTAGCCAAATATTTGCGGAGCCCGGGAAGGCGCCGTGAGATTCCGAGCCCCTCTCTCCGGACAGCGAGCTCCGCTTTCCAAGCACGGCCGGCTCTCGCCTCCTCCAGCAGCCTTCCCTTCTTTTCCGCTCGTTTCCCCGCCACCCCGCGGTGCAAACGAGATTCCATTAATGCCTTAATAAATAAACGAAACCGAGACGGCAACAAGGGGCGATAGGTGGGCAGTGACGGGCTTCTTCTGTACGTCATAAGGTACAGCATATCCTCGAAAGGGGGTTGGGGGAGAGGAGTTTGCTTTTGTACACGTCTACGAGAAGCACGCGCCTCCTGGCCAAAACTTTATTGGGTTAAGCTTTGCAGGGCAGGCTTTAAATCACAGCGGCTTCTACAGGGTTTGCCAAGAAAGCAAAAGTAATTGTGCTCAACGGGACCTGCCACGAAACGTCATGGTTCGGAGTGAGTGAGTGAGTGAATGAATGACTCTTTATTTGCGTCAGCTATCGGCCATAGCAATAAAACAACAATACGATATACAAAGAATAGAAATAAAAAGTAAATTATATAAAATACATTTTAGAGTTTTGAATCAATAGTCAAATAGTGGATCTTATTCTGATTGCCCCAGCTAAAAACCTTGGTGGTTTGGAGTGCTTTTGATCAGGGTGCCAGCCAACTAGCTATATACCCTTTTCGAGGACACTCCATTCCAGCCCATCTTTGTCATGATTTCTGCTCCAAGCTCCCAACAGACGCTCAGATGTTCTCTAGCCACTGAACACAAAAAATCCTCAACGACTGTTTTGGTTACCCCCACTTCTTAAAAGTACCCCCATTTATTGCAACCCTTGGGGTATCTCGAAGTCTACCACGGTGTACCTCCATTTTGTGCTTGGATGTGTCTTTCCGACTACATAAGAATGAGTGCTTGGAGCTTGCTATGAGCACATAGAAGAAAAGAAGAGTTTGGATTTGATATCCCACTTTATCACTACCCGAAGGAGTCTCAAAGCGGCTAACATTTTCCTTTCCCTTCCTCCCCCACAACAAACACTCTGGGGCTGAGAGACTTCAGAGAAGTGTGACTAGCCCAAGGTCACCCAGCAGCTGCATGTGGAGGAGCGGAGACACGAACCCGGTTCCCCAGATTATGAGTCTACCGCTCTTAACCACTACACCACACTGGCTCTCCACATAGATATTTATGTTACAACATCACTCTTGGCATATGAGCAAAGCCAGGCTTATTGCTAGACAAGTCTTGGTGGTTGCCTAGAGCAGTCCTTTTGCTGCATCAGCAGGAGGAGAGGAGGGAATAGCTTCTACTGTTGAGGAATAGTAGAGAGGAAGGAAACAGCCAAGGGGCAAGAGGAGATACAGTTAAAGGCAGCATGAGAAAAAGCATATTGGAAAATAGTATGTCTGCTGCTTGTTGAATAGTGGGGATGGACAGACCTCCTTTGGCAGGGCATTCCCGTGTCTTGTGGCACCATTGCCCCAAAGGCCTTGTGTAATATGCTCACCTGCAGTACTTCAAATAACCATGGTACATAGAGCAGGGCACCTATAGACAGTCTGGACTTTTGGACAGACTTGTACAGGTAGATGCAGTTCTTAAGATACTCTGGTCCTGGGCCATAAGGCAGGGGCAGAGGATCCTCCGCCCCCCCACCTGGCAGGAGCCATGTTTACTTGTGGGCAGACAGGTGGTGGGAAAGGTTAGAGGGGAAAGTAGGCATGGCCAAAGGTAAATGTGGGCAGGGCAGATGATATACCATAGCTTGAAAAAGGTAAGAATCTCATTTGGGAAAGTCAGAGGTTTCTAGCCCTGTACATGTTCACTTCCTGATCAAGGGTGCTGGGGCAGAGGCGGAGCTAGCTGCTCCGGCACCCGCACCCAGAGGGCGCCGCCCACGCAGCGAGCGTCCCTGGTGGGGGTGGCACTGCAATGTCAACCCCCCTCAGGGATGACAACCCGGGGGTGCACCACCCTTCCTCTGCCACTGTCCCGGGGCTGTGTAAAACAACTGTGACACCAAGGAAGTGTGCTTTAACCTCACTGCAGATTCTTTTTTTGGTCATTTTCTATAGTGAACAGAGTTTCTTTAATTGCTTTACTCAACAGCCTTAAACAGCTACCAAGAGAGTTTTTGAAACTGAATTTATCCCTAGCAACATTTTTTTGCCTGTTAACATCTGCATAGAGTGAGGCAAGATCATGATGTCGACACTTCTGTAAAGTGTCTGGTACACCAGCCTGAAGATACCGCTTGCTTAAGCTGTCTGGGTTTGTTTTACAAAACATAGACCCTGGCATCATGCCTCTTGGTCTTTTATGATAGCTGTAATCTGGGATACACAGAAATCTGTCTCTCTCCCCCGCCCCTTTTTTTTTTTTAATCATGCCCATGTGAGGAAGATAGGCCAAGACTAGCAGATACCTTCGAGTGGAGATTCTATTTCATTCCTTTGTTTCTCTTGTCACCTTGGTAAAGTCTGCTCCCTTCAAGTACAATAGAAGCAAGAAATATTTTCTTTTATTTTCAAGCCTTTATTCTCTCTTCTGGAGTTGTGGGAAAATAAGAGGATTCCATCAGCTCATGCTCATTTGTTTAGCCCTGCCATATGTGATTCATGCAGAAAATTAAACCCAAGTAGAACAATAAGAAGTAGATTGAAGATGTTAAGAACCCTACAGCTTTTGGAGCCGCAGTTTGGGTGTTTGTGAAGGGGGCTGTTCATGAAACAGCTTAAAGATCATGTGAGTCATTGTTGTGTCTCAAAAATACTTGTGTAGAATTCAGATCATTTCACTTATAAAACTTGTGTACTTTTAATTCTCAGATTTGTGTGACAAGACAAAATCTATAAAAGTCCCCAGGTTCATCAAGGCTAACTCAAGACAGTGCATTTGATTGCTTATGTGTATTTCTAAAGTACCAACTGCATATGCATAGCATGATACAAATAAATGGACCATGTGAAAATTGTCTTGCAGAGATCCTCTTGCCTTAGGGCACAGGACAGTCGTTGGTCAAGAACATGGAACAGAATGAAGATCAGAAAATGAATCCTGAAAGAACTTGGGAGAATTTCAACAATTTGGTAATCTTTATTGTGTGTGTGTTTATTTACCGTATTTTTTGCCCTATAGGACACACTTTTCCCCCTCCAAAAATGAAGGGGAAATGTGTGTGCGTCCTATGGGGCGGATGCAGGCTTTCGCTGAAGCCTGGAGAGCGAGAGGCGTCAGTGCGCACCGACCCCTCTCGCTCTCCAGGCTTCAGGAAGCTATCCGCAAGCCTTGCGCGCCCGGCGGGAGGTCCCGCCGGGCTCGCAAGGCTTGCAGGCAGCAGCCTGCAGCCCGAAGCACGGGGCGAGCTGCGGAGCCCGCCCCGTGCTTCGGGCAGATGTCGGCAAGCCTTGCGCGCAGCAGCCTGCATCCCGAAGCATGGGGCGAGCTGCGGAGCCCGCCCCGTGCTTCGGCCCCCCCAAAAAACTAGGTGCGTCCTATGGGGTGGTGCGTCCTATGGGGTGAAAAATACGGTATGTTACACATGCTAGGTTGGCCTTAGGCAAGGGGACATAATGACCCACTTAATCCTTCTGGTGCTCTGGCCTGCCAGATTCAAAGAGCTTTTACTCCCCAGGCTCTTTATCTGCAGCCTCCCCAGAAAATAAAATCTATGGGAAAGTATTTCAGGCCCTTGCAAATAGTGCAACTTTATTTACAGACCATAAGCAGTGTAGGGTTATCAGGACAACCACAGCAAAACAAAATGAGACATGGAGACAAATGGTACCTTTTTAAAATGGGAGCATAACAGCGCAATCCAATTCATGCCTACTCAAAAGTAAATCCTATGAAATTTAAAGGGTTACGATTGCAGCCTCAATCTGTAAGCAATTAAAATTGCTAAAATTAAAATTGCTAAAAATACAGAAATTTCAACTCAAAACATGTGACATTTAATAATTGTGATCTAGTTTTGATGACTACAGCAAGGAACTTGGCTATATCTTCTGTTACCTTAGAGTTGGAATCTGACCTTACTTGTCATTCATCTGAATTTCCCAAGTGTAGGGAAAGTGCTAGGAAAATGAAACGGGGACATATAGTCATATAAGCTTCAAGAGAACAGCTTTAGCAAGGACAAACACTTAGGTGCCAAGGCAGCCCAGTAAATTGCCCTTCCTAATGCTGAGTAGTTGGTAATGTGTAAACAACATTTCACATGACTCTAAACTGTAATAGAATTGTCACAAGTTCTACTCTCAACATTTATATATATCTAGAGAGAGAGATCTTCTTGTCCCTCGGTGTGTGTATGCCACACTTTGCAGCTGAATTTCCCACTTGGTGTACCTCATGAACTGTGCTCTAGCAACAGAGGTTTATGCCATAATCAAATTTGCTAGCCTTTAGGGTGCCCCAAGGCTCTCTCCTTTGTTTTTGCTACGGCAAACTAACATGGCTGCTGCTTTGAAAATTGGTAATGGAAAGAACTATCTCTATCATCATGTAAAAGAGCGAATTTGAGCAGGCACAGCTTTTTCTCATGATTTCAGTTATACCTTGACGGAAGCAGCACCTGCTGTGAAATACATCCCGGTATGGAAGCCCTGCCTGTATAGATACAGCAACCCTACTCCTCTCTTTTTGCTGATATGTCCACCTCCAAACCACAGATCAAGGGATCTGCAATGGTCCAGGAGATGAAAACGGCATTACTGTGCCTTTTTGTATTTCACACAAGAATAAATGTGTTGTAAAGACTAGAGATTACATTCCGTTCCCATTTACATGTTTTGAATTGCATTTCCTTCCCACCTCTTCACAAAGGGTTGATGAAGAAATGTAATCTGTGGAGGTGGCTCCCTTCTGGGAATAAACCTTGGTGCCTAAAAATCATCAGTGAAAATCATGGCTCTGCAATGGAACCAGCCTTAAGTTGCTTCAGTTCATTATTGATATTTTAGTTACATTTTGCATCCTAAAACCTCGTGCACAATTAGAACAGTTTCCGATAAGAGTATATATGAGTCCACGAAGGTCAGCAATGCAAGGAATCTACCAATACGGATAAAGTACTCTTAAATACCTCTTAGGTTTATGTATCGTATCTTCTCCTTTTCAGGTGATGGATTTACAAGTAGTTGGCACACCAGATGCTCTCCCCCATGTTCATAAAAGAATCTGTATTGATGAGTTTGACTGTCCTCCCAGTAAGCACTGCGAACACGACCTTTTCCCTAAATGGCATTTGCCGGTGAAGACAGCATTGGTACTGTCCTTGCTAACCTTTATCTACACTTTCCTAAGGGACGTCATCCATCCCCTTGTAACTAATCAAGGAAACACATTTTATAAAATCCCAATCCTGGTCATAAATAAAGTCTTACCAGTGGTTTCAATTACCCTGCTGGCTCTGGTTTATTTACCAGGAGTACTGGCTGCAGGTTTCCAGTTCCACTATGGAACCAAGTATAGACGTTTTCCACAATGGTTGGACAGATGGATGCTATCAAGGAAACAGTTTGGACTTCTTAGCTTCTTCTTTGCCTCATTACATGCCTGCTATAGCTTGTGCTATCCAATGAGGAGATCCTACAGATACAAACTCTTGAACTGGGCATATCAACAGGTACGCCATTTTGTTTTGTCATAATGCCATTAAATCGGTTTAAGCTGATGGTGTGCTGGCATCTGGAATGCTGTGTGGGTCTCCCAGTCCCATAATGAATATTGTAGAATGATGGCCTTATACAAAAGTGTAACAGACTGTGCAATCCTATACAGAATTAAGTCCCGTTGAGTTCAATGGGGATTAATCCTAGGTACGTCAGTATAGGATTGTACCTTTAAATGATTAGAAATTGTGAGTTGGAAACACCAAGGTGAGGGCTGACATAGTTAAAGTTTATAAACTTACAAATAAAGCAGAGAGAACAAATACAAAGATTTATATCCCAAAACATTTGTACCCAGGTTCATTCAATGGAACTAATTATCAGGTGGTCCAGAAGAAGAAGAAATACAATTCCCCACAGCATGAATAATGTCTGGAAATCATTAACACAGGATGTTTTGATAGCTACTGCTTGCCTGACTTTTTATTTTAAGTCCTCATTATTATTTTTTAAAATCACAGATCTCTGATTTATCCATGTCTATAGCCAAAAATAATAAAATGGTAGGGATATCCAATGTGGTGCCTTCCAGATTTTGGCTCCTTAATTCCCTTTAGCCCCAGCCAGCATGGTCAGGGATTGGGAGAGCTGCAGCCTGACAACATCTGTAGAGCGCTGCGTTGGCTTCTCCTCATATAAATTATGCCTTCCAGAGAATTTTGGTAGATGCAGTTGTCAAGGTGAGAGAACCTGCGCCTGCTGTTGAAAGTTTCCAGATCCCAGACCTCCTTTGCACCTCAACACAGTTCTAACTGTAAATACCGAAATCACAGCAGCTCATTTCTGTATATAGGCCAATTATGCAGGTTATTTGAAAACATCTAGACTCATTGGCTGCTCTGGCAGAGCGAAAAAACTTGCCAAGTAAGCCTACTGATTAGCTGCTTAAAATACTGCTTCTTGGTGTTGCTTACCTCTTCTTACAGTTTGCCAAAGGTTGTGTTTAGCTTTTAGATGGAATTCTGTTTGTCAGCAAATAATGCAGTCCTGCTGGGAAAAACAAGTTAAAAAGGAATTGGAACAAGTCTCCTTGGGGGTCAAAACTTTGCTGAAGTAAATACTTCTCCATCTAATTGACTTTCCTATGGTTAGTGCTGATGGCACTTTTTGGGGGGACATCAGTATAAACAATGCTGCAGTTAAAGATCTGAAATGGGACCATGCTCTAATTTGTAGCATGCACAGGTGAACAGAAAATATCAACAGAATCCCAACGTATCCTGTTTTGTGCAGCATTTTAGTTAGCTGACAATGATCTATACAAGATACAGGCTGGTTCACACACCTGGATACTTTCATCCCATCCGTGAAATGCATACAGGCTTGGATGGGGGAACTTTAGTGCCAACTGGGGTATTTTTATTTATTTTTTAATCCCACTGTTATTCCCATGATAGCTGCAATTGCAAAAAAATTTTAAAAAATCTCTATACAGTTTGGTTCTTACTGGAGTTTCACCATGGAATCTTAAGTGTACTTGTCATTCTAACACTTCTTAAAGTGTAGTGTTCTGTCCACAGGTGAAGCAGAAAAAGGAAGATGCCTGGATTGAACACGATGTCTGGAGAATGGAGATTTATGTGTCTCTAGGAATTTTGGGGCTTGCTCTGCTGGCTGTATTGGCAGTAACGTCAATTCCATCTGTCAGCCTCTCGCTGACCTGGAGAGAGTTTCATTATATCCAGGTACACATAAACAAAACGGCATAGATTGTTCATGGCTCAGTGGTAAAACACATACTCTTTGTGATAGATTTGAGGTTCACTCTCTGGTATTGCCAATTGAGAAGATCTGAAAAACGGGGGGGGGGACACTTCCTCCCCCCCTTCTGTGATCCGACACTGGACATTTACAAATAGCTGCTGATGCGATCATATTCCCATACCACCAGATGGAAATTGATTAGAGCCGAAGATGGATCCTTGCATGAAAGAGTTTGTGTGACCAGATATTGCTGGACTACTACCCTCACCATCCCTGGCCATTGGCCATGTTGAATAGGGCTGATGGGTGTTGGGGATTCAACAATAACTGGAGTGCCACAGATTCTTGCCCATGCGGCATGTGGAGCCTTCTCCATATGTAAATCAGCTTATAAGGATGCACTTCAATCTGTTGTTCGATGCAGCAAACTGGGACACTTGCAAGTAATTTCCCTGCTCCCATTTTGTATATGCAAAGAGCAGTGCTGAACCCACCAGGGCCAGTAGAAGGAATTTTGGCACAGCTTGCATTGGAAACAAAGGGAGAGCTAGTCAAGATACAGACCAAAGATCTCAACTCTTCCGCTATAGAATGCAGGTGGCACGAATCTCTTATCTATTAAATTCAGGCACCACACAAGAGATTTCCCCTATAACCAGGCCTTTTAGAAGTGGGTGGAATGTTTTTAATGTATTTCTTTTTCCTCTTTATTCTTATGTATCTATAGAGGGGTGTTGTCTGTCTGTTCGTTTGTAAGTCGCTTTGAGTTGCTCTGGACAAGATAAAGCGACTAACAAATTGAATAAATAATAATAATGATGATGATAGTAAGAGTTTAGAAAATATAAAATCACTCTACCAGATTTCAAGTTGGCTGTGGTAGAGTTCCATTTGTCTTATGCAGACCTAAGTCTTAGAACATGGGTAGGCAAACTAAGGCCCGGGGGCCAGATCCGGCCCAATCACCTTCTAAATCCGCCCCAAGGACAGTCCGGGAATCAGCGTGTTTTTACATGAGTAGAATGTGTCCTTTTATTTAAAATGCATCTTTGGGTTATTTGTGGGGCATAGGAATTAGTTCAATTTTTCCCCAAAAAATATAGTCCAGCCCCTCACAAGGCCTGAGAGACAGTGGACCAGCCCCCTGCTGAAAAAGTTTGCTGACCCCTGTCTTAGAAGCTCAGTGTTCTAAGCACATGAGGCAACCACCTTGCTGAAGCTAAGCAGGTTTGGTCCTGGTCAGATTCTGGATGGGTGACTGCCTGGAAACCACTTGTTTCCTTGAGTTGCATGAGCAAAGAAAGGTGGGGATATAAATATAAGGTAGATAATGTTTTGGCATAGGACTGAATATGCAGCTAAAACAACAAGGAGCATTCTTCAACAATTGCACAGAATCTTAATTAAGCCTTCGGTGTTTTAAAATAACAAGGGTTGTCGCCTTTTGAACTAATTCTTGTGCTGTAACAACTGCTTTTATCTGCAGCAATCAGCAGATGACATTTATTTCCATGCCTGCATATTATGTGCATGGAAAGCTGTTGATAAATGCACACAGGCAGATGCCCCCCCCCACCTGTTTGATGGAAACCCTGAATATGCAGCAGTGTGTATTATAGTTTGTTTTAATTTCCTTTCATTTTTAAAGGTTAACCTATTCTTTCTTTCTTTCTTTCTTTCTTTCTTTCTTTCTTTCTTTCTAGAGCAAGATGGGACATTTAGCTTTGCTGCTGTGCACCATTCATGCATTAGTGTTTGCATGGAATAAGTGGATTGACATAGGCCAGTTTATATGGTATACTCCCCCTACTTTTATGATGGCAGTCATTCTTCCAATTGTGGTTCTGACTTGTAAAGGTATACTGCTTTTGCCATGCCTTAGGAAGAGACTAGAGAAGATCAGATCTGGCTATGATGCTAATGCTCTGGCAAGTAGTACACAGATAACTTCCAGACTGTAGATTTTAAATGTGCATGTACTTTGCTGGCAATATTCAGGTGTTTTTTTAAAAAGACCATAAGGAAACAGTCGTCTTTATTTTTACATAGAGTAATCTGCACTGAGTTCAGTGAGGCTTACTTCTGGGGTGCATCGGTTAAAAGTTTTTTGGTTGTTGTTTTTCTACTGATGGATTTTAAAATATCTTACTTCACTATAGGTAGTTTTCTGAAAATTTACTTAACATTACAAGTTTACGTAAGCTTAGGCTAAAGTATGCATGTGGAAATTAAAATCTCAGGTGCCCCATATGTGAACTTCACTTTAAAAATACCGAAGATTTTTCAATACAAGTACAGCAATGACAACCTTCTCTTCAGGGAAACTGTGGAATAATAACACAACTATTATCACAACCCTGTTTATATTCACATCAGATCTTTAAAAAAATGCAATATAATAAATAATTCCTAACACTTTAAAATGCAAACACAGAGCTGCCTTGCCGGAAACAGCTTCTCAGTTCATTTCAGTGGCTGGAGTAGATCAGTATGTACATGCTTTTGTGCCCAGAGGTCATATCTTTATTATTAACCTAATGAGATCTCCTGTGCTTAACGAGATCCAAATGCATATCTAGATCATGGGATGCACCCAGATTACTTAATAATTTAAACACCACAGAACCTTTGTAGCAAACCAAGCTCAGCCTTAAGAACAGAAGGAGGCCTTGCTGGGTTTAGACCAGGATCCATGCAGTCTTGCATACTGCTCTGCAACATGCAGGATAACCTTCCCCAACATCTGGTCTTAAGGGTATATTGCTTCAATCCAAGGAGAGTTGTGTTTAGCTATCATTTCTGACAGCTGATGAAAGAGAGTTCCATGGATTTTTAGAATCCGTCTTTTAAATTCACCTGAGCTACTTGCAATCACCACATTTTTTTGCCAGTAAATTCCATAAGTTAAATACTAGGGGCTGGATACTGGGCTTCTTCCATTCCCAGGAGGGATTCCTATGCAGTGGAAATTCCTGTTGTTAGAAGGGGTGCCATTTTTGCTGTTTTTCTGCTGCAGTCTCCTGCATCACTTCCCTTGCTGTTTCAGGAGGTTCCTAACCCTCTGGAGCAGCTGTTTTCAGGCTGATGGTGAAGGAGGATTTGGCAGAAATTCCTCTTCCACTGGCAAGGGAATTCCTTGAATTGGACCCCCCTCATGGGAAGGCTGATTCCCACCCGTGTCCTTTTTTTGGTCCTGGACTTCTGTGACTCAACTTTCTTGGGTGAATGCAGATTACAGTGTTGAGAGAGAGCTGATTAACCACATAAATTGTTTTATTTCACTTCTATAAAAACCAATATGTGTATTAAAGAGTATTTGACATGGATTGGTCTGGAATATGTTTTGCAATTTGATTTTTTTAGAAGACATTTTTCCATAGTGAGGTAGGGATTGAGCCCTTCGCCAACAGTAATTTGGGTTCCAAAGAATTGTTTCACTTTGAGACTCTTGCCTCTATTCTGCATTTCTTAAAATTATGTTGTAAATTGAGTACTGTAAATAAGAATTCAGCTATACTTGTAGAAAATGTGTGTTTTTTCACATTTACTGTATTTAAAACAATAAAACTTCTATACTCCAGCAGTTTTATATAAAACAAAGATTTGTCTGTCTTTTTAGATTGGTTTTTTTTTTAATTGGCAGAGGCCAATAAATAGTTGATTGAAGACAGTGAGTCAGTAACAAACAAGATAAATTTACCATAGTAGACTTTCATATGTGGAAGTGATGAGAAGTGCCATGTGCACACTTTCATGAAAGATACACAATTCAGCCAGTGCTATGGAATTAACCCTGAGATGAGTTCTCTCATCCAGTCAGATCAAGCAAAGAAGAAACAACCTTCGTCACATTATGGGTTGTGTCCAATAGTCTTCACCCACCAATGCAAGTCCATTTTATCCAGTGAAGGCTTCCATTAGCAGACTGGGGAGGGAGACTATTTTTAATTATTTCCCTCTGCAGTCTTCCAAACAGTCTCTGGAATGTTGAGTGACCCATTGACGCAGCAAGAAAGGTGCCATGAGCGAGTCCCCTCCATTCTCCTGATGAAAGGCCCTCTGACCCAAAAGAGAGTTCCATCAGAATAACACCACCATTGGATACAATCCAATTCCCTTACGGGATTGGGAACCTATTGTGCAGAAAAGATTTGCATCCAGATAGATGAGCAGTTCAAGTTCATCTAACAGGGTGCGGCCCATTCATTTGCAGACCATGAGTGGAGATGCACTTTCTTTATCCATCTTAACAATAGAACATCCCAGCTGCATGTGCCTTGATCATGGTTAAACTGGGCTTTGAAATTACAACGCAGGAATTAGTTATTAGTAAAGTGCTTAAAGTTTAATAGTCTGTGCTCTCAGGCTAACAACCTGATAGACACAAAACAGAAAGGGAAAGGAGAAGGAACAGGAAACACATGCTGGTGCTAGTCCTTTGTAAAGTTATATATATTTGTAGTGATCTGCTGGAGTCGCTAATGTGGGAGACAGGTCAGTCTCGCCTCTCCATCTGCTGACCCAGGTAGATCAGCTGTTTATAGTAGAAGGCATATCTGAGATAGGATTAGCCACTAAGACCTATAATAAAAAATGCTGATTCATGGTCACGCGACTCCAACAAGCTAGATGGTGATTACTGTTATAAACAATTCCATTTCCTGCAAACAGTCTCTGAGCACTTAATGCTGTAGCATAGCTGAAGGTAAGCAAGGAAGGATCTGGTCAAGATTGCCAAAAGCAGGACACAAGTATACTGTACACGGCCTGGGGGTCCTGGATCCATTGCCATCACTTTAGGCTCAGGTGGCCTTGGTAGCACAGAGTGCCTTTCATAAGCTTCAGCAGGTAGCACCTTCATCTGGGCAGGGGTAACCAAACTTATGCCATCTGCTCCGGTAACATGTTCTATGTGAGGCTGCCTCTAAGGATGGTTTGGAAACTTCAGCAGCCAGGTTGCTCACTGGGGCAAGATGGTTTGAGCATATTACACCAATCCTGGCCATAGCTGTCAACTTACAGATTTGAAAATAAGGGACCAGCAGCCTCGAAAATAAGGGAAGCCTCAAGCCTGAAGGAAAACCACCGTCACCTCTCCGCTGGGAAGCGCTGAGCAAAGGCGAGTCCCCAGCCAACGCAGCCGATTTGATCAGCACAAGGCATGCAAGCTCCACCCCCCAGTTCTTAGACTTCTTATTGGGTGAGCAACGCAGCCAAGCAACACAGTTGGAGCCTCCCTTCTCCCTGGCCGGCAGGGAGGGAGGGAGAGGAGCTGCTTCCTTTGAAACCTGGGAAATTTAAGGGACATCATCAATAAGGGACAACAGCGGGACATGGCGCTGGGATAAGGGACTGTCCTGCCAAATAAGGGACGCTTGACAGCTATGATCCTGGCCCAACTTAACTGGCTACCAGTTAGTTTCCAGGCCCAATTCAAAGTGCTGTTTTCAACCTATAAAGCCTTAAATTGACTCAGTACTGCAATAGCTGAAGGACCACCTTTTCATCTGAACCTACCTGAAGCCTGTGATCATCATCTGAGGCCCTTCTTTGTGTGTCTCATCCATGAGAGATCCAGACGGTGGCAACACGAGAAAGGGCCTTTTCTGCAGTGACTCGCCATTTATGAAATGCTTTCCCCATGAAGGCTCACCTTGCACCTTCATTATACATCTTTAGTTGCCAGGCAAAAACATTTTACCTCTTCTAAACCTTCGGATAATTAATCTATGGCCTTTAAAACTCTGGAGGATATTATTTTTGTTATTATGGTATGTATTTCTCTGTTTTTGTAAATAAACAGACTAAGCCAAAAAAAATATATTTCTAAACATCTTTTTTTATATAAATAAGCCAAATCTGTGCAGTCCTTAATATAGAAGGACTTGTTTTTTGTTTAGACTTTGTGTTTGCAAAAGTCCAAGTCCTTCCCCTGGGCAAACTACTTGATTTTTTTCATAGCAAGCATTGCAATCAAAACCTGTTTTAGCTTCCTGTCTGATAAGTTTGTGACTCAACCAAGCACTGTGACACAGAAAACTGAAGTCTGACCTTTTGTTGTTGAAAAGTGATGAAGGTTTCAGGACACTACAATTCTCTATGTCAGTAAAAGAACAAAAATGAAACTAAAAATGTGCAGGATGCAATTGCTTAGGAAAACATTAGAGAACTATGGCTGTAGCCAGGCCTTTGCATGGGGGAGGGGGTGGCAGCTGGGTCCACTTGCCCCAGGCCTTGGAGGGCTATGGTAGGGTTGCCATACATTTGGGCAAACCCACCCCCCCCCCAACTTTTCTGTCCGGATTTTCACCGTTTGAAATATGGCAACCCTAGCTAAGCTGGCTGGGGGCCCCACCAGGGACCGGCTTTTTTATTTGAGCTTATAACTTTATTCTAAGAAGACTCCCGCCCCGGGCCTCAGACAAGCTCTGCACAGGCAAAGGAACAATATTTAATACTGGTTAGATTAATCCGCGGGTGAGGAACCTTAGGCCTCAGGGCCAAACATAGTACTCCAAGCCTCTCCATCTGCCCATTGGGACTCTCCTCAGCCACACCCTTCACTATTATGGCTTACCACCCTTCCTTAGGTGTTTTTTGTCTGGCTAAAATGTGTCCTTGACCTCTGGTAATGTTGCTTGTCTGAGTAGAGGATAGAGGGGAGTTTGTACAGAAATTAGCTTGCTGTATAAAGGTAAAGTTTACATTTCCTGTTCTATCCACTTTTGCCTCTGCACCTGCCCACTCCTTGAAAGGTTGCCCAGGAGAGAATGTGGCCCTCAGACCACAAAAAGGGTTCTGCACCTGTAAATTAATCAATTTAAAATGTTAAAATGGCATCCTGCTAATCGAGTAGCACATTTTGCAAAAATGATGTCAATGTTCCTTCTATAGTAAATTTTTTCATACTGTGTTTTATGTTGTGTAAGCCACTTAGAGAGGGCTACGCCTTAAAAGGCAGCCTTTAAATTATGTTTATGAATAAAGAAAATAAAGGTTGTGAATGTGCCACAAAGCCATCTCTTGTGTTTGCTTTTTATTTTATGATCACTGATAGTTTACTAGCAGCAGAATCCACATCCATGTTGACTCAAGTCCTGCCTTTTTTAATGGGTCTTTCTCGAAAATTATTGAGTATAAGACTGCAGCATAGGTATATTTAACTTTATAAAAAAAAATTACTGGGTCAAACCAGATAACATATAGTGAGAAAGAGAATACATGACATCAAAAGTGGACATAAAAGAGAAAAGCGTAAAGGTTAATAGTTCAAGGCCTACAAGAGATAAAATGGCAGAAGGTGAAGGGTAATGGGGCCCACTTTTGTTTTGCTTGTTAATAAATGACCCTGTAAATGTAATCTCAAACCTTTTATTGCTGACAAGCTAAAAATTAAATGAGCGCTATAAACAAATCCAGCTCATCCATGCACACTTTATCATAGGGGGAATTTGTGTTCTCATTTTGGGGACCTTTCAACATTTAGACATGTGTTTTTAAACTGATCTGAGAAAAGAGCTTAGGATGTATTTATGGAAGAAAAATGCTGAAAAGCTCAGGATCAGAACCCGTTCCTAACATGGCCTGCTGATCTAATAACTTTGTAGTTTGTCTTCATAGAATGGCATACGTATAAAATCACTATCCACAGCTTCATGGCTTTAGACCGCACCCCCAATCTCAGGGTCAGCCAGCCCCTTTCTGCCTGCCTTCTCCCTTGCATCCAGCCTGGGGAGTGGCCCTGGCTGTCAGCTTCCTCCTCAGTTTCAGCATTTCCCTTGTGTAACTGAATAGGGAGGAGGATAGGGACAATGCAAGAATTAGTTGGCTGCATCTGGCATTGGCTTTTGGCCTGTTTTCCTTCTGCACTGCCAGTCCCAATGAACACCAACCACCGCCATTGCATAAACTGCAATTAGTGATTCCTTTCAAATGTGCACTGTTAGGATCACACCGGCAGCCACAGACTCTGGATCAATAGAATGCAATAGAACATAGAATTGTATAGTTGGAGGGCACCGCAAGGATCATCTAGTCCAACCACCAGCTATCAAGAAATCTTTCACCTAGTGCAAGGCTCAAACCCACAATGCTGAGATTAACAGTCTCATGCTTTACTGACTGAGCTGTTCCCTCAGAGGTTCCTATAAATATCATTTGTCTTGGAAGAATTCTGATGGATTTGATGGGGACTGTCAAGACAGTAACATGTTTTCATATAATCTAAGATAGGTTACCTGAACCACAGACCCTTAGGACTCCCTCAGAAATATGCTTCAGAGAAACGTGGCTATTTGCCAGAGCAAGGCATCTGAAACTGGTCTGTGGACCACCAGTGGTCTGCCAGCTTCAGGTGGTTTGTAGCACGTTTGATTTAAATGTTCATATTTATTTTCAATTGTATTTTTTTAATATTGTGTTTTATTTTATTGTTTTACAGCCTGAATTTTAGGGAATGCAACTTGTAATGCAATAACATACAGTACAGGAAATTATAGAAATTGACGAAGTTGCCTCCCATCAATCCACAGAAAACCCGATCGATATTTGTTCCAATTCAGTAAACGGGTTTTCCCAAGGAAAGCGGTGGAA